ACTTACTTTCCCACTGGAGACTTTCAGTACATTTTTTAAAAACATGTCATGTTTATTCTATTTTGTATGACATTTCATATTCAATCACATTATGCCTGCAAAGATGGGCTTGAATTGGAGTGAGACAAGCTATACTGGTCAGAAACCAGACCGTGGGCTGGTAAGGCCATGGGGTCCTCCGCCCAGTGTCCCCTTGTAAATATACAAAGCAGGAGGACCGGAGGTGGGAACAAAACCCCACTGGGCTGTGAGTGAGAGCGATCACTGCTGACATCTCCTGGACCAGTTTGAACACAAAAACAATTTAGGTAATGACTTCATAAAAAAAGTTAAAGCCCCCTACTGAATAGACCGGAATAAATGTTCTCATCAGCTAAGGCAAGTAAAGGTACAAATGAGCGAGCAAATCACAGCCTACATTGAACAATACTAATATAAATAGCTCTCATTTTGCATTAAGTGTGTTTTACATATATTAACCCATTTGTTACTCAAAGCAGTCCTGGGAGGGAGGAACTTTTATTATTTCCATTTTATTGCTGCGGCACCCAAAGCACAGAAGGGTTTAATAATGACCCGAGGTTACAACTGCCAGGAAGTGGCTGAGATGGGATTCAAACCAAGGCGGGGAATATGATGTTGCATTTCTAAAACCACACTTGTCTCTCAGATTATCTGACAAGCAAAGGGCAAAATAAATTGCTTTCAATAGTCATTCTGATTCCACCAGAATCCTCAGCAGGGGGCCTCAGCCTTCACAAGAAAGACCTAAAGGCTCAGTAGACGCCCCTTGAGTTGACAATCATGGGCTTAGTCTGTGAATCAGCCTCACCACCCATTTTGTTCCCAGAAGTGAAGCACAAGTGGATTGCAAAACAGTAAAGTGGAGTGACTGTCCAAGCCCTACCTGGCAGTCATGTGATTACGTAAGTCCATGGGCTTCAATGTTGTAGTGGTTTCCTTATCAGGCTGGTAATGATATTAATAAAATGATAAGAGCAGCTATCCTAGAGGGAGCTTGTACTCTGTGGTAGGCACTTAGCATACATGGAACCAAGAACACGGGGATCACAACCCCCATTGTTGCCCACGCTTCGTAGATGGGGAAATTGAAATAAAGAGGAGTTGAGTCACCCTCTGGAAGTCACATAGCTAATAAGAAGCAAAACAGGGACTTGTATCAGGTCTGATTAACTTCCTGGGGGCAGCTGCAGCCCATGCGCTAAGTGCACAGCTGGCTGGGATCTAGTCCTCTTCCGACACTCGTTTGTTGCTGAGTGATACTATTCACGTTATTTAACCTTTCTTGTCCTTGCTTTCCTCTTCTGTAAGTTGGGGATGTAGTAAGAGTAGAGATCATGTTAACACTCAAGAAGGCAATATAGGTAACACGACAAGAACTTTACCTGCCACAGAGTGAGCACCAGCGTAAGCTGTTACCGTGACCGTCACTGCTGCTATTATTATGGATATTATTATTTCCACTGCTATTTCTATTGCTGTCGCTATTAATGCCCTTTCTGTTTCAGCCCATTGTCCTTGTCTTATAAAAGGAAAAATTTATAACTCAAAAGGTCTATAACTCTTAAAATTCTAGAAATCTGGAGATGGAGGAGGAGGGGAGAAAATGAAACAAAGACCAAGGTTCCTTCAGGAGAAAAGAAGTCCTTGAAGGGATCCTGGAAAAAGATCTAAGGAGAAAAGAACTGAAATGTACAATCCTTTGAGTTTCAGATATTTTATTCCCATTTGGCTTGAGATATTCAAGTGCCAACACTTTGCACGAACTTGGAAAGTTCTCTCCTTGATTATCAATTTATTTCCTAACAAATATCTATGAGATGAAAAATGCAAACTGCTTGCCCTGCACGCTCCATCCTGCTCCCCTCCCCTGACAGGTGCATCGGTTTAAGTTAGCGTCAAAGCTCAGTCTGTCCCTCTTACTGGATGCACTCTTGCAGGGTTGGCTTCAAGAAGTAGGTAAGGAAGAAAGCAATCGAAGGTGAAAGAGTCTGCTCTATGTTTCAGGTTTTGTTGGACTTTATTTTCTTTGTCCAAGTGCCTCTCCCTGCAGTCCCTTTGGTGTGGGTCATTCTCCTCCTATCTATTTCATTCAGGGGACACAAACACGATTGCTGCTGAAGTCCATGCATCTTCCTGGTCTGCATGGGGCTTGGCGTGGGAGGTCCAGGCCCACCAGTGGCTGCACAGACACACGCCCATGTAGGCAGACAGGCAGCGTGGCTGCAGCATCACTCCTTACCATAACGTATGGGGCCACTCATCATTCTCTTGATGAACTTCTGGCCCTATCCTGCCCACTCTGCCATAGTGCATTGCTCCTAGCCTTTGAGTGCCCAATGTACTCTCCCTCCCCTCACTTATGCTCCATGCAAACAATTCCCTGTATAGCAAAACCCCTTCCACTCCCCTTTTCACCTCTACTCAATCCAAATGGCTAAGTTTAAGTGTGGCATCCTGCAGGAAGCCATTCCTGGCCACCAAGTCTGGGCCGGTTCTCCTTCCTGTGTATTTCTATACTTGATCAACACAATGCCTATTCTGCATCTTCTGCATGATAAGTCCTGCTCTAAGCAATGGAGAAAATAAGCGTTGAACAAGTCGACCTGGAGAGGGAAATGGCAACATAAGCAAGATGATTTCGGAAAGTGATAAGGGCTACAATAGCTATAACAAGATGATGTTGTGAGGAGTAAGGGGAGGCAGCTATAGAAAATGGGGAAAACAGTTATGTCTGCAAAGGGAGGAGCTAATATTCAAGCAGGGTCATGAAGGCTGAGAAGCAGCCAGTCAGGGAAGGAGCAGGGCAGAATGTTCCAGGTGGAAGGCACTATTCAGAGATGCGGCAGAGGCAGGAATGGATTTGGTGTTGGGGGGAACAGAGAGCTTCCTGGGGTTCTCTGAGATTTATGGACATGTCAGTAAAGTCATTGTCATAGTCAGTTCAGGTCCACTGGTCATCTGATGGGCAGAAAGTAGTTGGACATATGAGAAGAGCTTTAGGCTAAGATGCTGTCTCTACCATTGATTGGCTGTGTGGCTTTGGGCAAGGTTTTAACCACTCTGATCATCAGTTTCCTCAGCACATGATAGTGTTCAGAAACAGATCTTAGAGTTAGTCAGAAAACTGCTTTTTTTGCTAATTGAGTGGCAATATATTTAACTTTTCTGAAGTTAATTTTTTCTGCATGCAAAGCAAATCACATATATAAAGCCTGGCATTTAGTATATGGCCAACTTATTGCGTGCATAGTTGTCATTGTTACTTATTTGTGTGCAAGGAATGATACCACCAACTGCACAGATTGTTTGAAAAATAGATATAATTTGTCGGCAGTGCCCAAAATGTAGTAAGGATTTATCAAGTTACTGTAGAGAATATTTCTTGTTTTGCAATGACCATTCCTCTATCCAACAGCAAACTTTTTTCCTTCAGAGAGGACTTCTTCCAGTTGGATATATCTGGTGAGACCAACGCTAAGCCAGATATTTCTTCCCTGGAATCTAAATCTTGAGTAGAGTCAACAAGACCAAAAACATGGCATTAATTCATAATGTCTAAGAAAGTCTCTTCTCGTGTAAGACCATTATTGTTATTTCTGTTTCCTTTTGCCTCCAGAACTGTAAAAAACCCTGATCTTTTCTAAGATCCATTCTCCGTTTCCTATCAATTTTAGAAGTCCCTGAAAGCCTTCTACTAGATTCCTTTTTATTTAAATTAACCAAGATTAGTTTCTTTCTCTTGCTACCAAAAATTGTAACCGATCTATATAGCTATATTATTGTTGTTATTATTATTAGAAAGTAGGGTTTAACTACCAATAATATTGTTAATTGTTACTTTTTGATGGTGCAGGAGATATAAACTGCCCACAGATTTTCTGCCTAAATTGAAAGTAGATGATAAAATCAAAACCAAGCCACATAAATCTCTACTCACTTTCCCATTCCCATTCACACCCATACTTGTTCTTTATACATATCTATTTGAATAGCTTGTGTGATTTGTAGTTAAATACTAAATCCTGGCTAAAGTTCAAAGCAAGGAAAAATTTGCAAACAATGGGCTGGGCTGCTGGTTTAATGTCTCTTCTCAAGGTCAATGACATAGTCACATAAAGAAACCCTCTGATCAAATACTAGTAGAGGGTAGGCTCTCTGCGGGGAGGAGGACAAGGATATAGATTCAAAACTCCCAGATGATACTTAAACATGTAGAAGCCCTGACTGCTCTCTCAGAATTGATTCTCCTGAAACAGTAAGGGAGGCAGGTGGAAAATAAAAGTGAAAAGAGGACGTGGTGAGGTCCTGTATATCTCCTCTAGATCTGTGATTCTGGCAGTAATTTTATTCAATTAATTACATCTTTTGTGTACAAGGATCATTAGTTTAAGAGGAAGTTTTACCTACCTAGACTATAATCTTTTAATTAATTAGTTTATTTATTTTTTATTTCAGAATATGATGGGGATACAAACGCTTTGGTTACATATATTGCCTTTGTGCTGCACAAGTCATAGCTACAAGCGTGCCCAAGCGCCCAGACATTGTGCACAGTACTTATTACGTGTGAATTTACTCATCTCCTCCTCCCCGCTCCAACCTGCCTGATGCTCTATGAATATTACTTCCATATGTGCACATAAGTGTTGATCAATTAGTACCAATTTAATGGTGAGTACATGTGGTGCTCATTTTCTCACTCTTGTGATACTTCACTTAGAAGAATGGGCTCCAGCTCCATCCGGGATAGTACAAGGGGTTCATCATTTCTTATGGCTGAGTAATACTCCATGATATACATATACCACATTTTATTAATCTACTCGTGTATTGATGGGCACTTGGATTGTGTCCACATCTTTGCAATTGTAATTGTGTTGCTATGAACATCTGAGTGCAGATGTCTTTTTTATAGAATGTCTTTTTTTCCCTTTGGGTAAATACCCAGTAGTGGAATTACTGGATCAAATGGTAGTTCTACTTTGGGTTCTTTAAGGTATCTCCATATTAATTTCCATAGAGGTTGTACTAGTTTGCAGTCCCACCGGCAGCCTACGCTATAATCTTTAACTTGCTCAAATTCTCCACCTCTATGATAGGAATAAAATGACTTTGATTATTAATTATGAAATAATTATATGTTGCTTTAATAGTTTACATAAATACCAGCATGCACAATTTAGAAAGTTGTTATAAAGACTAAAAGCAGTTGTGTGCCCTTCCTACCTCGCCATAGTAGATTGAAGCAGTGTCCACACTTCTTCAAGCCCTCCTGGCATTACAACTGCACACCCACATCCTGTGGCATCTGACTTTGCCCATCTCCTGTTAGAATGGGCAGGGTATGTTTTCCCACCTACTGAAGGTCGATGTGACCACATGGCATCTGTGGAAAGTAGGTAGAAGTGATGAGGTACCTGTTCTCAGCTGAGGTCTCAGGAAGTTCCATGGTCTCTGTTCCCTCTGGCAATTTACTATGAGAACAACATGACCTAAAGCTGTTGTTCCAAGGAGAATGAGGAGCACTAAAGCCAAACTATGGTCTGAAGCCAAACCAGCCAACCTGCAGCCTGACACAGAGTTGCCCTAGCCTATCATAGCCCCAGGAAGAACAAAATAAATGCTTCTTGCTCTAAACCACCCAGTTTGGGTGTTGTGCAGCAATATTGGGACAACAGCCGAGCAATATACTAGCTCTTAGATCAATTTCTATTGTCCTTTGAATGATTTAAACTCTGCAAAGTCAGGGTCAGGGTCTAGCTAGTCCACTGTCATTTCCTTACTTTCTAGCACAGTTTACAGTGAATAATATTCAACAGCTCACAACTCTATCATTAGTCCCCAATGTTAGTCTAGTCCCCTCTCTCCTATCATATATGAATTTAAGAAGAATAAGCAATCCTGCTTTAAAAATGACATCCATAGAATACATAGGAGATTACCTTTCAGTGTTCCCAGTAACTGTACAATATATATTTTTAAGTGAATAAAATAAACAGGCAAACCTTGTTGATAATAGTAGCACAGATGCTGCTTTTAAAATTTTTGGAGAAGATATTTACTTTTTTTTTTTTTGGATGGTTGAGGGATGCTGGTAAACAATGCTCGTAAAAATAATTCAGAATTTGTCTATTCTTTTATTTACTCAACAAGCCTTTTTGATTGTGCTTTGTGCTAAGTTCATGTTAGGTCCTTAATACACAGTGTAATGGACTAAATATTTATCACCCACCCTATCCCAAAATTCTTCTGTCGAAGTCCTAACCCCCAAGGTAATGGTATGAGAAGGTGGGGCCTTTGGGAGGTAATCAAGTCACAAAGGTGGAGCCCTTGTGAATGAGATTATTGTCTTTATTAAAGAAGCCTGAGAGAGCTCTTTTGCCCCTTCTGCCCTGTAAGGACATAGTAAGAAAGTGGTCGTTCGCAAGCCAGGAAGAGGGCCCTCCTCAAACACCTAATCTGCCAACACCTTGGTCATGGACTTCCCAACCTCCAGAACCATGAGAAATAAATTTCTGTTGTTTACAAGCCCCCAGCCTATGGTATTTTGTTACAGCCACCTGAATGGATCTAGACTTAGGAAGAGCAGGATCATGATTCTTGCTCTTAGGTCGTTTATGCTACGATGGCAGATACAATTCCATAGGCATCTGAAGTTTGGTGTGTTAAGTGTTTAGATGGATAGAAAGAGGGTTCTCCCTATGGGGACGTAAAAGAAGGAGTATCTAACTCCCACCTGGGAGAAATCGGGGGGGATGATTTCTTTGAGCAGGTGATACCTGGCTGTATTTTCAATGATGGGTAGGAGATAGCTGAGTGACTAATAACATTGAAAATAATAAACAACTATGGCAACTCTCCTTAGATACCTCATGGCAGCTGGGTGAAAGGGTCCCTTGACTAGGAACTAGCTCATTATTGCTAAGTGTAATGCATGAGCACAGTGATGTGCTATCTACATTTGCTGACCACAATTCTCTACCCTTAATATCTTCCAGTCTTCTAGGTAAATGATTACTTTCACTCTGGCAAACAATCCAGGGCAAGGCAAAGTCTATAAAACTTTTAGACAAAATATTCACAATTTCAATTTATTTGTTCTTCCTAATAAAATCAATAATAATCCTATTGTACTGAATTTGGGAACAGAAGCTGCATTAATGAAAGCTTAGGGAATAAATTGATGAGATAAAATCTGGTAATTCATGAATTATCTCAACCCCAAAGACAATGTTTTGGGTCATTTCATATCACCGAGAACTTCGCTTTAACACCTGTGACATATAAGAGTACTACTATCTTTCTCTGACATACATTTTGGCAAATAATTGAGCACAATAATGAAATACAATTCTAATTTTGCTCTGTAACCTTTCAGAGGGAGAAAAAAACCTATAATTAAAATATTACACAAAATGACCAAATGGACGTGGGAGTAATATAAAATAAATCCTGGAATTTAATCAGCTTTTTAATCAGCACTAGTTAAGACAATTGGTTGGGGCTGTTATTTTCAGTAGCAAACTAAAACCGTTCCACGTGATAATTTCGAGGGTTAATTGTTGCAGTTTATTCAATACAATCTTCTCCACCAGCTTTATTTTTATCTGCCAGTACACCAATACACCATGATTAGCATAAATTAAACTAAATGAATTCTGTGGGTTACTAAATTATTTTACACCGGTCTTTTTTTTTTTTTTTTTTTTTTTTTTTTAGAGAGTCTCACTGTGTTGCCGGGTAGAGAGTGTGCCCTGTGGTCTGCACACTGAAGAGATATTTTTTTTTTTTTTTTTTTTTTAATTTTCTTTCCCAAACATTTAAAGGTTAGGGATGGGTGAATGGTTTGATGGCAAATTCCGACACCCAGCTGCTCCAGCCTCAGCACAGAAAAAGAAATGCTTAAAAATGGGGTGATTGATTTTCAGAAATCTTGGGTAGAAAAATACACCGTGAAAAATGTCATCACAAAAGATGTTGTATCATTATACACTGACCTTTCGCAGAGGCCCACACGACTCACAGCTGGGAAGCAAGGAGCTCTACATGCAAACGCAGATAATGCGGAGTGCGAACGATTTGCGTGCGCGCCTCAAATGAGCCATTTCCAGTGTTCAAACTGACACACGGTGACCTTGGATGGCTCCGGTAACATTTGTTCTTCACAAAGCGAGTTTCATCTAATTTGGAAATTCCATTCTTTTAACCGTGCCTTATTGGTGGTAATTCATCTTTCACTGAGAAGCTCGCCGCAGGCATCCTTGACTTACATCCAACCTTGGAAAGAAAGTCTCTTATACAGAATGGTCAGCCCATTCCAGGACCTGTTTCTACCTCCTCACCCTGCAGGACACCAACTCTGCCAACCCCCCCACACACACACATGTCTCTTCCTCTTTCCTTCTCACTGCCTCACTGCTGTGGGATTGTACCTACCTCCTACCACCTACCCCCTCCCTCCTCTGCAAATGTGGCCCCAAAGGAACTCTCCTTCTTCAGTCAACATTTATGATGTTTCTACTGTGAACCAGACTCTGCTTCTGGTGCTGGGGATACATTCTTAGGACAAGGTAGAAGTGGTCCCTGCTTCACAAACTTTAGAGTGGATAGAAAAGACAAATAATTACAGTAAAGTGGATACACATATTATGTTAGGGATAATACAGAGACCTGTAAGAGCCTTCCTCTCCCTTCTCAATCTTCCTGTGCTCTCTGTGTTGGAGCTACCTTCCCCCGACACTCACTTGTCTCCTCAATGGGAATTTGGAGAGGGCAACACCTTGACTTTCATTTAAAAAGAAAAGATAGGCCAGGCACGGTGGCTCATGCCTGTAATCCTAGTACTTTGGGAGGCCGAGGTGGGATGGTTGCTTGAGGCCAGGAGTTCAAGACCAACCTGAGCAATAGAGAGACCCCATCTGTCCAAAAAATAGAAAAATTAGCTGGGTGTAGTGGTGTGTACCTATAGGCAGGAGGATCCCTTGAACCCAGGAGCTTGAGGTCACAGTGGGCTATGATGAGACACCACCTGCACTCTAGCCCGAGCAACAGAGACCCTGACTCAATAAATAAATAAATAAAGGGAAAAGGTGACAACAATAATGTGCTCCTTACTCTACAAGTCAGCACTCTGCAAGCCAACTCCCTCTGCCCTGGTGCCTCTAATACTTGAGAGGCAAGAACTATCCAATCGCTTTCTTTACTTCCAAGATGGGCATTCAGTTTCAATGGCAGCTCATCCCTGTGCCCTCTGTTCAGGCTCAGGCCTGTGTGAAAGGCTTTTGGTGAAATTATAAATGCTGACTGAAGAGGGAGAGTTCTTCTGGGGCTGGATTTGCAGAAGAGGGAGGTGGTAAGTAGTAGGAGGTGGGTACAATCCCACAGGAGTGAGGGAGTGAGAGGGAAAGAGGAAAGAGGATGGAAGCTGCCTGTCCCATCCATCACCAAATTCTCTTTTCTTTGCCCAGTGCCTAGCTCAGACTAGGTGCCTAACACATACTTCTTGAATAAGTTAAATGAATAAATATGTGTTCAATTAATGAGTTATTTTAAAAATCATGATATTTAATATATTCAGATATGGTGGATGATGTTTGAATAGAAAGGGTGACCAAACAAAAGTTATCTGCAAGGGGTAATATGCATTGAGAGGTTCAAAACTATTGTGAGTTTGCCTCAAGGCCCAATGGGAAACTCAACCTGTTGTTTATAAACCAAGAGGCCTCACGTCTCAAACACCTGACTTAAACTCTCAATTCCATGAAAATATAGGCTCTATTTTACCTCACACTGAGTTCATATTACATAGCACACAGCATAAAAAAGTGCTCAATCAATATCCACTGAATATATTAAATTAATGAGCTAAAATAAACTTTTGATTCACAAGATATTTGCATGGTAAGGACCCCTTTGTATAAGAATTCACCAATGGATGGCCTACAGAAGTGTTTGATCTGCACATTGTTTTTCTAAATTTTGAATTTTCTCCTAACATAAAAATTATTAATATAAAAATATTTTACACTGGAAAAATTCAAATTCAGCTTCTACCCTTCCTTGATATCAGAGGATCTAGAAAATAGTATAAGTGCTAATAATGCCAGTGGGAATATATCTGGATCTTTGTGGGTCTGAGTCCATTAGATGGGGCATAAACTCTGCCATTTACCAAGTTCCTACCTGGCCAATTTCATGCATCCATTTGCCCCTGGAGACATTTGGCTTTGTGATCCTGATATATACAAGGATATGAAGGAAGACAGATCATTTGAAATTAGGAGACTTAAGCCTCTTTTAAATTCTTAATGACTTGTAGCTTAAATCTTTTGGCATATATAATGCGAAATTTGCCACATATAAGCACAACTTGCAGCTTAAATCCTTTGAAATATATATATATATATATATATATATATATATATATATATATATATCAAGATAGAGTTTAAAATGGAAAGCAATGGGATGGGAAGAAGAACAACTTTAACAAATATTTCTGCCTTTATAAATAAAACTCGAAACACTCCCGATTCAGCCAAGTAAGCTGAAAACAGCAGGGTGGGGTTAGATAATTCGTTCTCCACATGTTCTCTGCTGGCCTGCGAGGAAGAGAAGGGATGGCCATGAATACATGCGGTTTGCAAAATACTAGAAGAATGCCTTGTTTGACAGTACAATCAACCGACAGCTTTACAAAGTGAAGTGGTTCATTCAGATTCTGGCATCTGACAGTCAAATCATTCTTCCTGCAGTTAGACTCGTCAATAACATGATGATGTGAAAATTGCTAAGAGTTTGTGGAGAATGAAATATCCTGAGGAATCTGGAATTATTTATTTGTGGACAGGACCCCAGAAGGTGGAATAAAAGACAGATAATGGCTATTGAGATGGAATAAAATAGACTTCAAAAGTGGAAAGCAACCTAAGGAAGCCTCCCCCTAGTAATCAATAGGATTTGATTTAATTTAATTTCTTAATCTCTTATTTAAGAAAATAAGAAAAAGTGTGTCTCCAAGGATATGAATTTGATTTGCACAGGGACATGAGATTCAGCAACCTCTCCCTAAACAATATTCAGGCAGAGATTTATCAGTATGCCAAGAATCGTCCTGGTTTAATTTTTCTACTCTTCTCATTTCTAGTCCACTGTTTCTTGGCCCAGAACCATCTCCCAGTAATACGTTGAGTCAGCAGGGAAAGATGTGAAGCTGGGAGGGAGAAGTAATGGGCTCAGGAACCTGCCAAAAGGCTCCACCCTTCTTCCCTATGGCTGGGAATAATTTTATTGTAATCAACAATGATTCCAGACCCCACAAATCTTATGAGGTGTCCTTGGCTAACCGAGGCTCTTTCTGAAACTTCAAAATGTATATTTATCCATCCATTTATTCAAAACTGCTATTGAGTATCAGGCATCACCAAGACCAGGGCTAATGCTCTTACAATATAGGGGGGTAGATGACCACACAAAACATCATCATAGTGTAACACGATGGAAGTATTTCTAGATCAATTAACATGCATGGTAACAGGGGAGGATTTGGTCAGGGAAAAACTTCCAGTAGGAATTAACCAGTTTTTTAAAAAAATGGCCAAATGATGTCTAGGCAACACTGCAGAACTCACGGCTTGTTCAGCCTCACAGGATGGATATCTACTTTGTGTCGGGCTCTGTGCTTGGCTCCAGGACAGGCACTGGGCTCTGGTGCTTTAAGATGTTAAAGCATGAGGCACCCTGGGCAACGTGAGCAGCCCAGTCAAGCTGGAATGAATGAAGCAGAGCAAGTGAAAGTGCAAAGAAACGAGGATGAATAGGTAGGCATGGGCCATATTGTCAAGGTAAAATTTAGGCCTTTCATTAAGACAGGGTCATAAGGAAGGCTTTACACCAGGATGACAAGTCAGATCTGGGTTTTAAAAAGTTCTCTTTGGGTGCTGTGAAAAGAATGGGCTGCAAGAGTAGAGGCAGGAGAACAGTTAGGAGGGTGGGCTAGGAATCAGAAGACCAGAAAAGGGCGGGATTTCAAAACTTACTACAAATCAGCTGTAATAAAGACACCATGGTTCCAACACAAGGATAAACATACAGATCAACGGAATAGAATTGACAGTATAGAAATGATCTCTTTCATTTACAATCAATTGATTTTATACAAAGGTATCCAGACAAGTCAATAAGAAAAGAATAGTCATTGTAAAAAATGATGCTGGGGTAGCTGGCTATGCATAAGCAAAAGAATAAATCTGAACCTGTATTTTTTTATATAAATATTTTTAATTTTTATTTTAATATTTTTTTTGAGACAGAGTTTCACTCTGTTGCCTGGGCTAGAGTGCTGTGGCATCAGCCTAGCTCACAGCAACCTCAAACTCCTGGACTCAAGCAATACTCCTGCCTCAGCCTCCCGAGTAGCTGGTACTATAGGCATGTACCACCATGCCTGGCTAATTTTTTCTCTATATATTTTTAGTTGTCCAGCTAATTTCTTTTTTTTTTTTTTTTTTTTTTTAGTAGAGACGGGGTCTAACTTTTGCTCGGGATGGTCTCGAACTCCTGAGCTCAAAGGATCCGCCCACCTTGGCCTCTCAGAGTGCTAGGTTGAACCTGTATCTTACAACAAACACAGTAATCAGCTCAAAAGGATCATGAACCTAAATGTAAAAGATAAAACAATAGAACTTTTAGAAAATAACATAAACCTTGGGTTAGGCAAAGATTCTTTCTTAGATATGATACCAAAAGCACAGTCCATAAAAGAAATAAAATGATAATTTGCACCTCACCAAAATTAAAAACTTTGGTGTTTAAAAAGGCATCATTAATGAAATGAAAGGACAATCCACAGACTTGAAGAAAATATTTAAAATTCATATATCCAATAAAAGACTTATATCCAGAATATGTGAAGAACTCATGCACATCAACAATAAAAAGATAATTAACTCAATTTAAAAATTGGGAAAAAGATTGACTACACGTTTCTCCAGTGAAGCTACGAGCATGGTCGAAAAGCACATGAAAAAAATGCTCAACATCACTAGTCACTAAGGAAGTACAAATCAAAACCACAGTGAGATGCCGTTTCATACCCATTAGGATGGCTAAAATCAGAAAAATAATCACAGGTGTTGGAGTGAACATGGAGAAATTGGAACCCTCATACATTGCTGGCAGGACTATAAAATGCTTTGGAAACAATTTGGCAACTTCTCAAGATGTTATTAATAAAAGTAAAACTACCATATGATCCAATAATTCTACTCTTAGATATCGCTTCAAGAAAAATAAAAACATACTTCTACACAAAGACTTATGCATAGATGTTGTATAACAGCATTGTTTACAATTGCCAAAAAGTAGAAATAACCTGAATGTCCATAACTGATGAACTAATTAATAAACCAATTGTGGTATATCCATATAATGGAATGCTATTTGGCAATTGAAAGAAATAATGAACCTCAAATATATTAGCTTAGAGAAAGAAGCTGGACACCAGTGTGATATCACCTATAGAAAATGTCCAGAAGAAAGCAAATCTGTAAGACAGAAAGTACACTAGTGGTTGCCTAGAGCTAGCGGTAGGAATGGAGAGCGTACAAATAGGCACTGAATCTTACTGGAGTGATGCAAGTGTTTTAAAACCAAATTGTGTGCTAGTTACACGCAACTCATAAATACACTAAAAAAAAAAATACATTGACTTACATACTTAAATACAACTGGTGATTTTTATGGCATGCATAAAATACACAGTAAAGCTGTTTTTTAAAAAAAAAAAAAAAAAAAAAAAAACAACAGGTGAGGAATGAAAGGAAGTGATGTGAACCAACAGTAGGAAATAGCATCAGCAGAAATTGGGAGCCAAAGGGATCTGAGAGTGGGTGGCAAAAAGAAAAAGACTACATGATTAAAAGCAAGGACAATGGAGGTTGCTAAGCTCAATCAAGCAACCATTACATGCCAGACACTATATATACATAATATGGATCATTGTATAGTTTTCATAAAAACTTTCTTAGGTTGAGACAATTATTATCTATGTTTTACCTATGAGAAAACTCTGCTGGGGCACAGAAAGGTTAAGAAATCTTCCGAAGGTCACAAAGTAAGCGGTAACTGGCAATACCATTTATGGGAGTTAATAGGATAAGAGACCAAATGGGTTTCACAGCTTGTCCTGGAAATTTGTTCTAATGCTTTACAATCCTCTGCTCCCTGACATTCACATGACTCATCTTGATCTTCCCAGGAGAAAGAACACATTCACATTGCTTCTTTTCTAGCGGTAGACTGTGGCTAGTGCAAGTTGATTCCAGTTTTGCCATCGCCTTCTGTATGGATATC